TTTTTTTTTTTTTTTTTTTTTTTTGAATGATAATTTATGAAGCATTCGCCAAGATGTATCCTTAGTTTATCTGGATAGGTATCACAATAATATGTTGTTTCGTGTCTTCCACCTGGTTTGTTTCGGCAAAAACAAACCTTTTTTGTTCTTATTAAAATCGCATGGAGCTTTCCATTTGATCGAATTTCATCATTATTACCGATCGATGTCGAAGTTCGATCTCGCGGTTGTCGAAAATCTCCTCTCAACTGTTCCACTAAAATTTTTATAAATTGCAAGTGAACAAGTGGTCGTTTTTTGTTCTTCTGTTTTCTTACTAATTTATAAAGAATATAGGGACTAATTAAACTAATTTCCAATCCCCAAAAAAATAACTTGCGTCACCACTTCAGTAATTTCCTCATAAAACATATTGATCAGCCCGATCAACGCCGCCCATGAATTTGGTTTAATTTATGATCGCAACAGTTTGAACACCATGGTGGAGTGCTCTTTCAACACTCATCTCTGCATTATACCAATTTGCAAATTATTGTTCTTGCGATAAGCTATTATTAATTTTTGTTTAAGATTTGGTTTCCTTATCGCATTTGGCAACTCTTTCCTATTTGTTAATATTGTGCCGGTCAAATGATATTTTAATTTGCGTAATTCATTATTCAAAATATAACTTGTATAATAACGGTCTGTAAACATATGATGTTCCTGCGCATCGGGACTTTTATTCAATAGCATTGTGTACAGGTATAATGGAATTCTACTGGATACTGGAAGGTCCGGTCTTATCAATGTTTGTGTTGTAAGGCTACCATAATAAGGCAGAATGCCACAAATATAACCCGTATTAGAATCTGCTAACGTATAGGATTCGAATACCTCATTTCGTTGGTTTTTTCGGATTATATGTGATAAACGAAACTCAGCCTTTGAATTTTACAACAGACTCGTCGACACAAATTTCCTCACTCGGTATAAAATAATTCAAAAATTTTGAATTTATATAATCAAGATAGCCACTTATTTGCTGCAAACGTGTAGAGTTAGTACTTTGTGCCGAAACTATTTTCGCATGTAACATCCAAAAAAATCTGCGTAAATCTATCTCTTGTAAACGTTTGGGATAAAATGTAATGTGGCTTGCTTGGTTTTTTGACCAATATTCTTGTATATTGGCCAATGGCATCGTCCCCATATTTACAATAACTGCGATGAACGCCCAAAATTCTTCCTTGGTGACATTATGCCATGTTTGCTAGATTAAATGTGATGACAGCGTCCTCCCCTCTAACTTTTTTTGCAACATAATTGTTTGTTATTATTTGATTTATTAGTTCGTCGGTAAAAAACATCTTAAAAAAATCCAACGGTAGCTCAACATTTGGAGATATCTGTGGCTCTGCAGGTTTTTCGCCGGCTATGAATTTTATTCTCGGTGGTATTTCGGTAGATTCTTCACAAGGTGTCCATTATTGTGCATTGTGAGGCATCACTGTCACTTTCGGATTCGCTCTCTATTATTTTAAGTTTTCGATTTCTTATACCTTTCTTATACTATCTCCATCACTGCTTTCATTTTCTCTATAACTAATCCCCTCACGAATGCAACAATTTAACCCTAAAAATCCATTTTTTTAGGGCGTCTAAACTTGCGAAATTACGCTGTTGCCATGATCGTCGAATACGAACTAGCGTCGGTAACGTTGTCAGAACCATAGTTTCGAAGGAATTTGAGATTAAATATTGTTACACGGTACAAAGGTACTGTTAAAAAAAAGTCCGTTACTGAGGAAAGGTTTTCGCGACCATGCAATAAAAACCGGGTTCATTGATCATGGTCAAGGACATCTTTCCAATTTTTATTAAGATTCGGCGTTCCAAGAAGATCTGAACCGTAATAACTTTCTGAAGCCTTCAAAGAGGGTGTGTTTCTTTGTCGGAGAGTGTTTCACATTTCCCAACAAGAAACATAAAGAGCCAAGGAGCCTATTCACCAATAAATACTGTGCTATTATCAATCGGAGATTACGAAATCTAGCATAAAAAGAGATTGTCGCTTCTCATTCGCCATTCGAGTTGCCGCATGAAACGCCTCTCAAGCGCAAAGGAATATATATACTGTATAAGTACATAGCTTTATATTTCGTATTTATATTTTCATAACTTTTTAACATTTCTTTAAATGAAAGAATTTACAAGACTTGGCATTGTAGTCTTATTTTCACCAAAATAATGCAGCAACAAAGTTTGAACACTAAACTTCGGCACACCGTACACGTATACTTTGGTTTAAATTAAATTTATCAGAGAATCTCGATCTCGGTTGCAGCAAGACGTATAGAAATGAATTCGCAACTATAGAAACGGAACCGAAATATCAATATATTCGGTTAAAATTGCACATCATTTATGCACGACATTCGAAACATACGCGTACCACTTTCTGTAATACCTTTCGTCACATTTTTCATCCGAAAGCGACGACCGCGAGAATTCGTAGCGAATCGGTACCCTCATGAAAGACATCGACGCGGAACGTGCAACGACGGTAACGACGCGATTTGCATAAATTCGCCGAAGTCGGCGATCACCGCGAAAAGCGTGTTCTCTTGTCTGCGTTTCGGGGTTTGAGCGCGACAGCACACGAGCAACGAGAAACGCGAGAGCGAATTTCCGTCTTCCGCGCGAAGCTTATTTCACGACGATTACCACTCCGCTTCGTTTTCGGTTCTCGACATGCGATAGAAAGTCACGCGATAAGGCCACGACGAGTCTTCTAATCACCGGCGAGATTTAAAACCTTCGTAATTGGACGAGGAACTCAAGATAGGACGAATCACGTAACTTGATCGCCTTGAGTACCCTCGTTATTTTCCAAGATGCGAAGAAACAAAAATTGTTTAGAATACGGGGATAACTTTTTTTTTTTTACAACTGCGGAAGTTTCGGAGATTTCAAAGTCATCCTTTTTTTTTTTTTAATAAAAACCAGTGCAGCTTTTTATCCTCTATAAGAAAAGAAAGTATTGACTTATTTGTGTCGAGAAATTAATAGTTTAGAAGAAACTTTAACTTTAATTTTATGCTCTCTTCTCGTCTTTCGTAAATAGGTATTTGACATCCTGTATATCATTTGATGCATCAATTTGTATATTATTGGAGATTCGTGAAAACAAAAACTGAAATTAAAATTAAATAATATAGGATTAACTACGAGTGAAGTAAGTAGTAATCGTACTACTACTTACTAAAAATAATAGTAATAATTTTTGAACAGCATTAAATAAATAAATAAATATAATTACCATTTTACCAATTAGGAGATCATCAATAGACAATATATAATAAGTATTAATTGCAAATGAATGGAATTGGTATTAAAATTAGAATTAAAAGTTTTCTTCGTTATTTCTGCTCAATACTTGATAAATATTGAGAAAACTTTGCATCTATAATGATGGCTCGAGATTTGAAAAAGATCAAGTTGATTATGGTATTTTTTTAGCCATATTGTAGAAATTTCAATTTTACGTCGCTTAATGGAATTTTTAATATAATTTAGTTTGATTATTATAATCCCTGTCAAAGAGAATATAAGAAAAAAAAATGAAATATTTCAAATTTCAATATAAATTATATATATATTTATAGATGTAATATAATATAAAATACAAATTAGTATGGTATGGTATAAAACAATATAGTAAATATAAATATATAGTAAATACAAATTATTATATCTCACAATACTATACTTGAAGGTCAATGTTAATTATACAATTATACAATTTATCATTTATTGATCCAAAAAAATTATACTACTGTCTCCGAGAATTTCATGTTGAAATAAACGATTTTTGCTAAATAGCTTTTCTTCCGTCCATTTAAATTAAAAACTCGTAGAGGACGTGACATCTGGTACTCTTTGATGAACGGAACGATCGAACGATCGAGCCTCTTAATATGAATACCACAATCACTGATCAATAGGACGAGATGTAGAATCGGCGATGGAAGCCATCTGGCCATCGAGACGATGTTTCAATCAAGATCTATATTGAAGTGTAATTATTATCCATCGATTCAATCGTTAAGCGTGATTCGATTGCGCGCGCTTCGAGTGTCATCATGACGAACATGAGCGCGTCGTGCCATCTCGTCTCGTGCATTTCTTTCTGCCCAAGTCTCGAGCCTCGTTCCCGCCAAGAAGCAACATCTTGGAAATTTTAGACGCCTAGGGAACTCCTCGCCACGACTTTGTTCGCCTCACGCCGCCGACACGTTGACTTAATTCGTCATTTCGTTGCAAACGAAACGACACCGCCGCACGAAGCGTCCCGAGACATAATTTTGGAGAAACGGTGGCGCTGTCTCGCGCGATTCGCGTTGCTCGAAAAGATCGATCGAGCACGTACAACCTTCGAATGGCTTGAATTTTTCGCTCGCCTCGGATTTGTATTAGTCCAGACGAATACTGGAGGCGGACAAAGTTCTTTTTTGCTGCAATAATGCAGTAGTAAACTTTTGTTGTCGAGAATTTACACGCCTCCAAAACTATTAAAAAATTGTTTTCATCACTAGGATTTAGCATGATCTTGAAGTTTGAAGTCAATCTTTTAATATTTACTGTACGATTTTTTTTATTGAACATTAAAATCAAACGACGAAAATTCTGGAAAGTTTGCTATTTGACCTTAATCTTCAGAGTTCGACAAAATGGCGACAAAAGATGGTTCAGCAAATTTTCAGAGGAGACTTCGATCTTCGAATCAATTGTAGATTCATTCTATGACAATTTATAGCATTTTCGAGAAGAGAAGTGCCCTCATTTTAGCCATCTGCACAGAGTGTACACACAGTGTAAAAATGTTTTAGCATAAAATGAACGATACGTTTTGAAAATAGAGACTTTGGTCTTAAAATTGTTCTATGATTTTCTTTTACAGCAAGAATTATAACAGCTTCAACATTTACTGTCCAAATTGAAATATTCAAATGTCCGACTATCGAGCCAAACTTCATTCTTGAATGTCTCGAATTTTTATTTTTGCTAATTTAATCCTTCGAACATTTGAAGGATCAAATAAATGTATATTAGAGACTTTAACGAGCATCCCGGAATATCTTCAGATTTTTCAAAAAAATCAAAAATAATAGAGAAATGAATTCATGAATGGTCATGAACTAAAATTCTCATCCATCGCCCGCGGAACGTGCGAAAAATGTGATTGCCCGCGGATAGTTGGTTAACGAGAAGTCACTGCATGACGCTCTGCGTGAAACCGATCTAACACGAGGAGCAGGTCGAATTCCTGAAAACAATGGCTAGTTCAGTTAGTTCAGTTTTAGTTAGAAAACTAGGGAATAAGGAGAAAACACGTATATTTATTATTAACCACGTTGGTACATTGGCGAAACAACTTGTAACACGTTTCATTAGGAAAATACCGCGAAGTTCCAAGCGAATTCCATGAACCGGTTGCACGATTTCGTAGACACGTATATTACTTCTGCCGGTCGATCGACCGACGTTCCCGCGGCGCAAAGGAAACCACAAATTACCTTGGATGTTATCTCGCGTTCTTCGAATACCGACGAACAGCAGTCTTTCCCGAGAAAGAGAGAATCCTTCGTTCGTTGGATCGACGAGCTTGGCTCTCGCTCGCTGGAAAACTCGCGGCACGCGCGAGTCCTCGTCTCATTATCAACAGCGTGAACAAGCTGTTCCGCTTCTGTTCAGTTAAAGCTCGTCGCTCTTTTCTCTTCGCCTGGCAATCGTCGTCTTTCGAATCTGTTGATTGCTTCGGATCAACGAACGCAGCGAAAGAGGAGACTACGCTTCCACGACGACGCGTTTCCATCTCGAGGCGTCTTTCCCGAGAGCACGTTTATTACGGTGACATTTTTATTGGAGTTTTATATTTCTTTTCCACGTGTCTTTTTCGCCCATGTTGGTACTAGATACTGATTTTATTTTACACAGAGATGGGAAGGGTTAAAGAACTTTTAAACAGATGGTAAAAGAATATTTTTGGAAAAATGTACGGATCACAAACAAGTGTCCCGGCCGAGAACAATAATAAACAAAAGTTTCAGACAGAATAAATAAATAAATAAAAGTTTCAAACAGAATAGAACTTGTAAAATGCAGAAATAGAAATTTTTACATTTTTAGAAACAGAATATTTTCACACTT